TTTGATTTTGGTAAAAGAACTGATCCGACGTGCAAATTTTCGAGACATTACTATTTATTGAACAATTTAGTTCATGCCACATTGACAACTCCTACAACAAAAAAATTCTCAAATTGCCATATTAGTAAAAAACGCACTTTCTTAAATTTAAACAAAAATAATCAACCTTAGCGTTGAGACTGCATACCCCAAAATTTTGTATCCGTTATCAATAACACATTTAAGAAAAAAACATATTTCAATTCGCATTATATTTTTTTTTGTCTCGGATGCTACCTGAATTTTACCAAAAACAAAATAATTTCCATGCCTGAAGATGACTGAATGTCCAGTCGAAAGTACTTCCGTATTAAATAAAGACCTTATACAGCTTATAATTTTTAAAAACAAGGATCATAACATTCATCGAGTGATTTGTAGGTTAATGCACCTTTAAAATTTTGTCAGCGAAGGGATTTCGCCATTTTATATCATTAACTTTACTAATCTACTTTTTGTATGAATGATTCATTGTAATATAAATTGAATTGCACCACATATTTGATATATAACTATAATTTAGAAATTTTCTTCGACGTTTCTCCGATCGATTGATATCACAGAAGAAAATTTCTTTTTCCAGTAATATCAAAGTACAAATTTTCTAAATTGTCTTACATCGACAACCCTCGATTTGAAACACTAATAGGGAAATTCGTATCCATTAATGATAAGCGTGTTGGTTCAAATAAAACTTCTGACGGGATTTTTTCTATTTTTATGGTACCAAATACACGTGCCATATGGAATAGACATGCCGTTCGGAATTTTTACCTCATAAGCGTGTTGGTCCAAATAAATGTTCTGACGGGATTTTTGTATATTTTATGGTACCAAATACACGTGCTGTTTGAAATAATCATGCTGGTGGGGTTTTTTTTTAAGCTTACAAGCCTCTTGGTTCAAATAAACGTTCTGATAAGCCTCTTGGTTCAAATAAATGTTCTATTTATATATTCTTTTATACCAAATATTGTATTAATTTTTTTTTTTAATTCCAATAAATAATGTAACCATTCCTTATATTTTGGGGCCATGTAATATATAGATTTTCAAACTTTTAACAGTGACCCAAAATTCATCATGGAAGCCCCTAAGCTTTAAACAAGATCAAGCTGTTTATATAATATAAAAACCTGCTGAGCCTCTCGAGGCAGCTCTTAATTTCCGTGATGAAGACCGTTAATTATGATTTAGTGTTTGCTTGAATGGACGGCATAGTGGATACAATGATGCACAGTAAAGAGTCAAGAGTTGCTTAGAGCTAAGAAAAGAAAGCTGTGAAAAGCCATGAACGCCTACGTTTTGACGGCACATAAATGATTTAATTATAAGTAGTGAGTGATAAGTATGCTCTCATGTCGCGAGGTTTCATGAGTAATGGAGATAGCTACATGTATGAACAGCGGTTCAGTGGTATATAAAGTCTTGACCAAATGTGCTTCATGTCAGTTCACTGTTTAATGTTTAATTAATACAAGAGTTGATTGTTGTACGCTTTCCTACCATGTATCTTCCCTAATAGCGGAGAGTGAGAGAGAGAGAGATATCTAATTCTGTATTACAGAAAGTCTTGTACAAATGTGTTTCTGGTTAATTTGCTGTGTGGTAGAACTAAGTAATACAAGGGTTGATTAATAAGTAAGGTCTCTTACCACACGACTTCATTAATAGTGGAGTTAACAATCTAAATGTGTTTAGTAACAGCGCGTAATTTGACGGCATTTGGTTATACAGAAGGATGACAAGTACGGAGGCTTTGAGTAACAATATAGTTTTTTCAAAAATACACAAATAAAAATTTCACTTACGCTTAGAGTCTGAATGGGTTGAAATATTTGGGACACATAATGAAGAAAGAAGACTTGGAAATTTTGACACTCAGAGGACATTGAAGGCAAGAGGGAAACAGCGAGTAACCTACCTAGTTTTCGTAAATGGATGGGAAACAAGGAAAAGGAAAGGATGGTTTTAGAGGGAAAAGCGCGCAAAAAGCGAAGAAATAAATCTTCAAACACAACTCTACAAATTTAAATAAATTTTATTATTGAGTACTTGTAATTCGTTTCTTTCAACTTGAAAGGATACAAAGATCCTAGCAAAACAAAATGCTACAAAAATATTTTGTTTTTGTTTTTACAACACAACAGAAATAATCGCGTTAATATGATAGAAGAGCAGAATGTACCTACTTAACGGAAAGTCACGTATTTACATTGTTTTATGTAAGCGTCTAATTTTCCAGCAGTTATCAAATGAGAGCTGCGTTATTACTACTAATAATATTTTATTTACATAATTCCGTTCATATGTTTTACGTGTTGCTTAATTTATTTTAAAATCGCAAGCCTATTTCAAGAAGTTACTCAATAAATATGTGAAAGGTTGAGTAATAAATTATAAGAAAGGCGTGAGTAATCAGTTTGTACACAACAACAATCCTGGTCAAAGGTTTACCGAAAAATTGTGAATTTACGCGACGAATATTTATAGAAAATAGATGGATAAATGAAGCTAAAATTTAGATTAACTAAACTCAGAAGTTAATTGGTTAATAAATATTTTTCCTAATTTTTAAATATCTGTTTTTAAGCGGGAAAATATTATTAATCATTTCTTTGAATGAGCTTTCGAATTTCGTAGCAGATATGGGATCGTCGGAAATTTGAAGGCTTTTTCCAAAGCTGTAATAGCGTTTGAGATACCGATTGGTTGATAAATACTTATGTGGAAATTTAAATTAGAGCCTACCTTTTGTGCACAAAAGCGAGTCGATTAAGATTTTAAGTGATATTACTTAAATCTATTGAATTTTTCAACAATTTTAACGGGCTTCCACATCATCATTTATCGACGGTAGTGGCGATCATCGAGCCAATGTGAATGATCCTTTCCTTTAGCTGTATATTATGTGCTATACCAGGGCTACATACAGTTTTTAATTCAGAGTTACTTTTTCCTAGACTGGTTGGCACACAAGGCTAAAGAACGCAGTCTGTCCTGATATTTATCCATAGCTGGGGGAGGAGAAGATTCATACCTTTCCCAAGAGTATTAGCACGTAAGTAATGGATCCGACTGGAAATCGAACACAGCTCACCGATTCCTCAATCCGAGCCGCTATCAATGACTCCACTATGCCTCCGTTCCACATCATAAAAAGTCATTGGTGATAGCTACAAAGGATAGGAAGTAGTGGAGGGACATGATCGCACACGTCCTGAAGGAGCACAGTATATCGAAGAAGTAATGCAAGGGTTGGTTGATAAGTCATGTTTCCTACCACACGGCTTCATTCACAGTAGAGAAAGCAACAGGTTTCTGCATCTGTTTGCTAGTTTCAAATCCTGTATAAATGAGCATCGTGACAATCCGCTCTGCGACGGCATTAAGAGAGTTAGTCATGAATTACGGCTAAAGCATTTACCACTAATCGGATGTTTGAGACTAAGTGGTCGCAAATCAAAATCCAAAGACGTTTTGAAAGAACAAAACCTTGCGAAAACTCAAATAATAAATCGGCAGAATGAGACCTGAAAGAACTATTTTTCTTCGGTTTGCAAACGTTAAGCAGATAGCACTACGCAGCTGTTGCACACCCTTTCTGCAGACCCAATTTGGCACCAAACTTCTGGTTTCTGTCTATATTTCTGAGATGAGGTATTATTGTACGCTCCGGCCTTCTTCGAGTGGTGGGAATATCGAACTGAATTCTTTATTTCGCTCGATGGGGTAAACTGATCTAGTTCCATGTGCCATGTCTAATGGATGTCATTTATCTCCTATTAATTCGCCTCTCCAAGTTCTTCACTGTCTTGACCAGGTATTGAACTCACAACTCTTTGGGTCCTGTCACTGGATGTAACCAACGCCTTTATCCACTGTGCCATGTGTTCTTAAGGACACATGGCACAGTAGTTGTTCTCAGAATTAAAACATGAACATTCTTCCTCTGATGCCGAAGTGGAAACGGATGTAGCTAATTGGATTAAAAGTAAAAAAGAACTATAAAAACGTTTGGGAAAATTCCTATCACTAAAGACGATAGAAACACTTGTAACAGTGAAGAGAAATAAACTCCAGTAATTTTAATACCAGTTTCTTTATTCCATCTAGTCTAAAACTTGTTTTTTGTTATTAAAGACCTTACTTATCACCCAGACCTCATAATTTTGAAGAAAAATTAATTTCATTCATTTTCATACCAGTTTCATTATTCTGACTAGTTTAAAATGTGTTTTCTACTATTGGAAACCTTATTTACCCCTCATTATTCTGAGTTCATCACGAGACATGATATACGCATGCGCAATCATGCCTCTTTGGATTCATGATTGACTAGGCAGATTTTTCACTCAGTAGGTTTCCGTTTATTTCTACGCTAAAATGGTTGCCAATCAAGGCTATAGGACTCAGTCTGTCCTGTTATTCAGTTCATAGCTGGGGCGAGAGAAGAGATGGATTCACACCTTTCCTAGGGGAATTTACGCATAAATATTATTCTATCTGTTCTAAACTTTCTAGTATTGAAAACCTTACTTATCAATCAACACTCGCAATTTTGAAAATAAATTCAATTAATTTTGATATCAGTTTAATTATTTAATCTGGTGTAAAACTTGATTTTACATTTGGGGACCTTACGTCCGAAGTAATCCTCGTAACTTTGAAGACAAATAAATTCAATTAATTTTTATACCAATTTCATTATTCCATGTCGTCCAATACTTATTGCAGAGGACTGGCAACCTTTTCTTCTTTATACATATGTACGTATGTGTGTGTAAGTGTGTTGCTTATATGATTAAATCAAAGACTGCACTTGAATTGATCGTAACAAAAGTTGGTGTCACGCAAGAGCGACCAATCCAATTTACCAATGACGTGAAAGGATTTTCCGAACGAAACTGGAATGAAAACAGCGACAACGTTAGAAGTTGAATATTCGGAACTATTTGCGCATGCGTAGGCGTCGTCTCTGCGGTTATGGCGCCCGCCTACGTGATGCAGATGTAACTAAGAGGCTTATAAAAGGGCTGGAGTGACTACCACACACACACACACACACACACACGAACACAGAGTCGCTTTTCTCTCTCTCTCTCTCTCTCTCTCTCTCTCTCTCTCTCCCAATGCGTCTTTTTTGTTACATTTCAATCTCACCTGCATTTCTCTCACTCGCACTACCTCTGACCATTACTACTTCGCTTTTTTCTCCAGTATCAAGAGAGAGATTTCATACTATTTCTCTCATTGCATTTTTATTAACTTTTCAATCTATTCCTCTTTATTCCGTCTCTCTCTCTCCTACCTTTCTCCGTTTCTCTCTCTCTCTCTCTCCTACCTTTCTCCGTTTCTCTCTCTCTCCTACCTTTATCCGTTTCTCTCTCTCTCCTACCTTTCTCCGTTGCTCTCTCTCTCTCTCTCTCTCTCCTACCTTTCTTCGTTGCTCTCTCGCTCCTACCTTTCCCCGTTTCTCTCTCGTTCCTACCTTTTCCCTTTTTATCTATCGCTCCTACCTTTCCCCGTTGCTCTCTCTCTCTCTCTCTCCTACCTTTCTCCGTTGCTTTCTATCTCTCCTACATTTCTCCGTTGCTTTCTATCTTTCTTACCTTTCTCCGTTGCTCCCTCTCTCTCCTACCTTTCTCCGTTGCTCTCTCTCTCTCTCTCTCCTAACTTCCTCTGTTTCTCTCTTTCTCTCTCCTATCTTTGTTACTCTCTCTCAGACTCTCTCTTTTTCTTCCGCTCTTTCTCTATCTCTCTCTCTCTCTCTCACTCTCTCTCGTTCTTTTTCCCCTTCTCTCTGTTATTTCCTACCTCATTTTCATTGTTTGTCTTTCATTTCTTTTCCATTACATTTTCAAACTCGCTTGCATCTTTCTCTCTCCTCTCTCTCTCTCTCCCTTGCATATATAATCTCATACAGTTTCCTTCTCATCGTTGCTTGAAGTTACTTTTCCCTCTCTCTCCCCCTAATCACATTTTCCCTCTCTCTCCCTCTAATTACATTTTCTCTTTCATTCTCAATCTTTCTGCATTTCTTTATCTCTCTCCATCCCGTCCCTACACCTCTTCCCCCTACCCTCTCTCTCTCTCTCTCTCTCTCTCTCTCTCTCTCTCTCTTCCCGACTAGGTCTCTCTCATTGCAATTTGATTTTTACCTTTTAATTCTCTCCCTTTTGTCTTCTGCACTCTTTGTTTCTCTCCTTCATTCTCATGCAGTGTTTCCTCTTCTTTTTAATTACCGTTTAACGCTCTCCGACTCTAACGACTGACTAGTGAGTTCGATCCTCACTAGGTGCACCATACTTCCTGCTTCATAATATGGGCACTCCGACATTGTGAAATGATTAACAAACATGTCGTATTAGATAAATTACGACTGAGTAGTAAGTTCGAGCCTCACCCGGTGCTTCATACTTACGGCCTTGTGCCATTACTATCAGCCAGCTCTTCGATACCATTTCAGTTAAATTCCGCAAGTGATGACGCAAAAATGTTTTCTACAAATTCTTGATTTTGGGTTTTCATTAGAGAAAGTTTTACCAATCAAAGTGTTATGGTGATTTTTCTAAGCTTAGCTCAGATGTGGCACAAGGCCGAAAGTATGAGGCAAAAGTGAGGATCGAACTCACTATTTAATCATAATTAATCTAGCAAGACAAGCTTGCTAACCATTACACCACGTCGAAGTAGCCAAATGATTTTCTAAATGCTAGATGTGGCATAAGGCCGAAAATATGGGGCATCCAGTGAGGATCGAACTCACTATTCAATAGTAATTAATCTAGTGATTTTCACACTGAACCCTTTATTCCGAACTAGAATAATCTACCCCGGTAAACAAAATAGAGGGTTCAGTTCGAAATTCCAATAACCTGAAGAAGGCCGGAGCATACAATGACCGAAACGTCGTGAATATGACAACACAGATGAGGACAACAGTCCGAGCAATGTAAATATTGTAAATGAATAAATAGTGCTTAATATTTTTGTTGTAAATTCTCAAGAACAAAAAAAATATATAAAATCACTTTCATCATATGTATAATTGATCTTTATAAACATTGCCGAGGAGTAATAATAGTGATGTCAATAAAAAAAAACAACGTCCTTTTTTTTGCGGGAACGAAGGTTAAATATTGCCGAATGTCTTTTCTGGTTATTCGTGACTGGCAACCAATAACCATTATTATAGAATCTCTCGGCGGTAACGCCTGTTTGAATATAAGAGAAAGGTTCAGGACCGTATCATGATCCCTGTGACAACAGCCCAAAAAATCGATTCTGAACACCGACGTATGTAGGTTACCACTAATAAAAAAGAACATTAATCATGGCGCTAGAAATATCAAATTAGTGTGCTTTTATATACCGTGCCTCTTCATGATATGGGTGGTCATGGCTCTCCACAACTTCCTCTCCTTTATAACTCTAAGTAGTAATGTATGCCTCTTTATTACTATTTCTGAGATGAGCAATTGTCAATGTGCCTTTTTTATTAATTTTAACTATTGTCATCATCTTCCTTGTTACATATAAATAAACACAACGTTTCGATCAAGTACCCTTTGGTCATCGTCAGCGTTCATTGTTTGGCTGATATGGGATATCTGTTTATTATTGTGCTGTTTCTCCCTATAATTCCAATTATTGCTCGTTTCTACTGAACCTGATCCTGGGATTGAATTCACAACAACTAGATGACAGTAACCAACGCCTATATCCATTACGCCACTTCGTTCTTTTTAGCTAATGTTTACCCTATAAAAGGCTCAAGAGTAACTCAAGTTAGAAGGTTGCTGAATAAAATTGTTGCGTGGGCGATAAGAGTAAGAGGTAACAAGTAAAGTTTATGAGGATATGTGGGAAATATAACGGTTAACCCTAGGGTAAGATTGTATTAGTCGGGAAAGCATCATCTTGGGAGTCGGTTCCACAACGTAGCGGTTCGTGGGAAGAAGCTGTTCGGATGGAACTTACTTGGAATGGAATGGGAAACGGAATGAGGATGGTTCACCTAAGTGTACGCTATGCGGTGGGTCCGAGCTGCAAGTGTTAGAGTTGGTGAAACTAAGGAATGTAGCTCGCCCGAACATTTTCCATGGAAATAGCGAGAGAGTAAAAAGAGGCTTACAACGTTTCGCCTGTAGTAGCTTAACGTTTACCCAGACAGCATATGTTTACTTATCTTAAGTCCATCATATTAGTGTGTCAAAGTAATTACATTTTACCAGAAACGATATAAAAACAAATGTAAGTTAAATGTAATTAAATATTATTTATCATAATTGAAATCATCTTTATTTTTAATGACTACCACCGAAGGGGAATACAAATTATCGATTCTGCATTTAAACAAATTTGGATTTTATCCCCTAAATTTTAAAGGAATATTTTCAATTTTCTTTCTAAAATTTTTGACACTTATGAAATGTTTGAATGATTGAAGCAAATGAAAATCTGTCGGTACTAAACTTTGTCAATAAGAACGATATGAAAAAATCTCGCCTCCTGACAATCTTATTTTTCCTTGAGATCCTTTTTCCGGGTGTGCCATTGCATTGTCATACTGGATAATAACATCTTTTCCTGTTCACGGAATAATTCTACCCGATCAAACTTCTGCTAATAAACATTTTCAATGTTGGATTGTTGGGGATTTGAATCAACCCTCAAAAAAGAAAAAGTTGTTTAAATATAAGATATTTTTATTTTCATATTTTTTTTTTTCTTTACAACTAAATTTTTCTTAGCGTATGTGAGTTTAAAAGTTCTTATGTTTGTCAGGATACAGTCCCTTCCTTGTAGTTATTTTCCAAGATGAAAAGAAATGTGTTTTCTTCTTGTGTATGTGTGAGAAAGAAAAGTCCAGGGAGAAGTATCCCGTAGCTTGGTGAGGAAGACGAGTGAATGTGTAAGTAAATTTATTTTAAGTCGAACGTCGTGAATTGTTGCCGTCTGTTACTGGTCGTCTCTCCTTACAGGTTTGTCTATCTGGAAAATTTGGTTAAATACCCTCCAAAGAGATCACAAAGCATTTTCTTATTGCTGGTAGAAACACGACCCATTAGTTCATAAATGTTAAATATTTATTTTCGAAGCATTAATTTTTTTAACTGGAATGATGCGTAATCCTCCGACTCAGAAGCCATTTTTTTGCCATTTAGTGTTTGACAGTGTTGGTGTTTATTTGCGTCTTCTCTCAACAGATCCTTCCATGTTTTGTCATGTACGATACCTTTCATATTCCATTTTGTTTGATGGAAAACTGGTTTTGTTTTTTGCCAATGGTTTCTCCTTTTATGATATCCACTTTTTTTTTTCTTTTGACATACCAAACTCATTTTTCATCATTGACACAAAATAAAAGTTGTCATTCCTGGTTAAAAAGGCCGATGGAAGCTTGTATTCGGTTCCCAAGCGAAAACTCACGTGGAAGCCGAATTCCTACTTTTATAAGTTTTCCTAATTCGCTTGAGATGTTCGTGGTCATTTCAACATGACATCTCCCGGTGATTTTACGTGGATTTAATAGTCGTTTACAAATCTCTTCGTTCAGAGTGGGTCGTCTTCCAAAGTGAGGCTTATCGGATATGTCAAAGTCGCCATTTTAAAGCCCTTTTAAACTACAGCTGACATATGCAAACGTTCATTGCATCCGTTTACACTGAACAAATGTTTCAAATATCTCTGTAATAGTCTTAACCTTTTAGAATTCACACACTAAGCAGATGTGAATATGTTACTTTTCAACGTTATAATCCTGCATGAGGTTAAACTCTGAAATGCACTATAAAAATACACTGTCGGGTAGAAAAAATGACAATCTAATTCTAGACGCTGTTTCATACGATTTGAACCTAGTTCTGTCTGCGTAAGTAGAGTCATAATTTGTATCCGTGAAATACGTAATTACTTTCTGATTTACTCCCTGGATGTTTTGCCACTTATGAAATATTCCAGTGATCGAAACAAGTATAAATAATAATCTTTCTTAAACGTTCTTATTTTTCCTTGGGGTCCCTTTTCAGGGTGTGCCCTTGGCATGCTGGAAAATAACACCTTTTTCTGTTTACCAAAACATAACATTTTCGACATAATGTTTCGTTTACCCGATCATTTTTTTTTTTTTTTTTTTTTGTAATGTTGTCTGGGGTGGTTATTGAAAATAATAACTTACAAAAAATAAGGGTTTATTTTAAACAAGATCAATTCAAATAGATATTTCAATTATGTGCTATGCGTGATGCACGTTTAGGCGATCATGTATCTTTCGATACATGACTGACGAGGCAGATTTTTTTCCCGCAGTAGGTTGCCATTCCTTTCTGCGGTAGACCAACTGTTATCCAAGGCTATAGAACCCGGTCTGTCCTGCTATTTACTCATAGCTAGGGCAAGAAGAAGATTCATGCCTTTCCAAAGGTATTAGCACGTGCGACGATGGCCTAGAGGTAAGATATCAGACTGTCAAATCAGTCGGGTTTCTATCCCGGGTTGAAGCAATCGGACGTCAAGCTACACTGAGGAGCTGTGATATAGCGAAACAGTCTGTCTGTCGATGACAGGGTTAGTCGATTCATAATTTGTAGTCGTGAAATACGTAATTACTTTCCGATTAACTTCCTGGATGTTTTGCCACTTATGAAATATTCTAGTGATCGAAACAAGTACAAAGAATATTCTTTCCTATGTTTATATTTTTCTTTGGGGCCCTTTTTCAGGGTGTGGCCTTGGCATGCTGGAGAATAACACCCTTTTCTGTTTACCAAAACGGAACATTGTCGACATAATGTTTCGTTTACCCGATCAATTTTTTTGTAATGTTGTCCGGAATGGCTATTGAAAATAATAACTAGAATGGCAACTTACAAAATATAAGGGTTTATTTTAAACAAGAACAATACAAATAGATATTTACAAGTTCTGTCTATATTTCTGAGATAAGGTATTATGGATATTATTTACATTATTCGGACTATTGTCCTCATCTTTGTTGCCATATTTATCCGATCCATCAGTATCTGTCTATATTTCTGAGATGAGGTATTCTGCACACTATTTACATTATTCCGACTATTGTCCTCATCTTTGTCGCCGTATTTATTACAACGTTTCGGCTGTTGTACG